TTCCAGGAGTTGGTCTGCAGGTGAAAAGGTGTGAAAGTTGGGTGGAGGTCGCCAACGGTTGATTGGGCGACGAAGGACGGCTGTGGTGGGAAATTGAGAGGGGTCTGGGTTGGTGCGTTCAGTGTTGGGGCGTAAATCGATGGGTTGTGGTGGTGAGCGACTGCGGGATGGTGTAAGGCTGGATGTGTAAGTGGGATGTCGAGGGTGAACGGCGTCGCCGGGTTGCGCTGTGGTGCTTGGAGTGGTGGTGATGTCGATGTCGGCGGCGGTGGTGGTGGCGTCCTCGGCGGTGATGGTCGGACTTGCGTCGGCTCTTGTGGTGGTGGCGGCGACTGCTGTGTGGTGGCTGTGGGGAAGGTGGTTGTGGTGCTGGTGAGGCGGTGGTGTCAAGCTTGTCCGTTGCAGGTGGTGAAGGTCCAGGAGCTGGTGTGGCTGATGCAAGGGATGGTGATGCGGAAGGTTGGGATGCGGTAGCTGGAGGGGTCGTGCTTTGGACCGGCAATGGAGCGTCCGTGGCGGTTGTGGGGATGTGTTGGATTGGTGGTGTTGGATCTGATGGCGTCTGTTGTGGGAGTGGAGGCTGGACTGGTGGTGAAGCGCTGATGGTTTGTGGAGGGGGCGGCGGGGGCAATGGTTGGGGTGGGGGCTGTGTGACTGGGGGAAAGGCTGAGTAGGGTTGCCAAACGCCCTGGGGGATGGCGCATTGTGGGTCTGTGGATGGGTGATTGGCAATCGCGGTCTGTTGCTGTGTTGGAGGGGGATGTGTCAGTGTAGTGGGGGGAGGAAGTTCAGCCGGTGGTGTGGGATGTAGTGGTGGCAACAGGTATGAAGGGGGAGGTGCTGCTGACGGAAATACTGGAGTTGGATGTGTGGGCTGCGGTGGCACGTGACATGGTTGCACAAACGTCCAGGTGGACGGTGTGCCGTAGGTCAATGCAGTGGCGGTGGGATTGGACAAAAAAGGTGGTGGTTGGAATGGTTGTGGGTGTGGGTGAGGGTATGCCGATGGTTGTGGCGAGGGAAAGGTGGGTGCAGTTGATGGCTGTGGCAGCGGCCATGTGGGTTGAGGTTGCGTGGTAGGTAGTGGTGGTGGCGTGGCGTGAGCGTATGGCCACGGAAAATGCATGTCGTGGTCGTAGCTATGGCTCGGCGCGGCGCGGCAGCAAAAATGCAGCGGAGAAGTGCCGAGTTGTATTGTCATGATGTTGTTGAAAGTCTCATCTCTGGTGTTGATGGAGAGTATGTTGTAAGGTGGTGCTAGAGGTGAGCTTGTTGGTAGGTGTGTGTTCATGCATCTCGAATTAGATTGAAGAGCTCTAATGCCCAAACTTGAGTTCTGCTGATGAAAGAGTCACGGCATCGATATGGCAAAACGTGGAAACACAAACGTGACTTGGAGAAGTGAACATGACGGATCCGAAATCTGAAAGCTGATATCCGATGTATTCTGCAAGAACCGTTTTTTGGCCCGGCGGCCGGTATGTCGGTTGATTCTGTGAGGGTGTCGGTGCCTTCCTGTGAGAGTCCAGTGAGTGGTGGTGCGTTGTGGTGGTTGCTTTCCCATGCAAGATCGGCGCCCCTGTGACGGGGATCACACTCAGCACCCGAGTGGGACGGCTGAGCGGGACACACTTCGACAATTGTATTCAGTTAGCTCAATTTCTCCGATGGGAAAGAAGGTGAAGAACCGCAAGGCGAAAAAGTCCAGTAACTTGAATTGTTGAAAAAATGTTTCACTCGCGCGGCTGGTTGCAGTTCACAAGCGGCTGAGACCTGTTTGTGGGGTGGAATACATGAAGAACCATGAAACAACACGCGGAAGAGTGGGGTAAACAGCTTGTGCAAAAGTTGTGTGGCAGGTACACACCAAAGCGTCCTTTGGTGCTTCCCCTCCAGCGACTTAGCTTCGTTGGGCAAGGTTCGTCGCCGGAGGCCTTGCCCCCCTGCCTGTGAAAGGTGGTGGTGGAAAACCCTTTGTCCAGGGGTGGACACACACACACCACACACACTTAGATAGAGGTTTATGCAATGCCAGAATCCACAAGGAAAGGAATGAGGGAACGGAAAGGTGCAAAGTCCGCGCATTTGAAGTGTTCAACATGTTGTTTCACGTGATTGCAGAAAGCGGCTGGCGTCGGGCGAGCAATCGCATCGCTTGTGCACTTGCACTGGATCAAGGTAAGAAATGCAGAGCTTCTTTCACACGCATCGCGTGCCCCAGCTAGAACCAACAAACAATCAGCTAATTTAGGCGACACAGTTGCACCCACAGACCCCACCCCCCCACCCCCCACCCCACCCACTCCACCAGGATGCAAGATGTGATAATTTGGCCATGGGCCAATCATTCCATAAGATTCCCACCAGCCCCACCACCCCACCCCCTGTGTTTTGTTTTTCAGTGAACTAACCTCGGTATGGTCTCACCTCTTATGTATGTACATGACTGACACATTTGGCTCAAGACTGAGAAAAGCCGCTTGCTTTCACAGAGCGATTGCATTCGACTCGTGTCCGAGCATTGTCGGCTGGACCTCTCTCGAGACTGTGTTCTTTCCAAGAGAAATCCACTGCATTGCACTTCGTGTCACCCCCCCACCACGCCCCCCACCCCACCAGGATGTAAGATGTTTTGATGTGGCCATTGGGCCACTAAAGCGTCAAAGGCAAGTGATCCACCGCCCCCACCCCGGAGCTAGGAAGCACGTAAGTGCACAAGTGATTGATGCCCAGTGCGCAAGTGATGTCCAGTGCGCAAGTGATGTAAGTTCCCAGTGCGCAAGTGCTTGCCCGGCCCTGGGGTCAGGCTGCTGCAATACGGTGGGAAACCTGTTTATGGGGTAGCATGCAAAACCGCCATGAAAGCAAACCAAGTGTGGAACAGCCTGAGCAACAGTTAAGTGCAAGTACGTCGGCAAGCGTCCTTGCCGATATCCTGGGATCATTTGGGGAGCTTCGGCTTCGTTGGATGCACCTGACATGTCCTCTCCATCCCGCTGGCTGTGGGCAAGAGTGATGAGCTGAAAACCCTTAGGTACAGGTATGACACACACAACAGGCCGCTCCGTGGTGCAGTCACCTAACAAGCCTTAGATAAAAGACAAAAAGGAAAGAAAAGAGCAAGCCAAAGAGGGCAAGAGAGAAAGATAGGTGTAGAGGCGTGCATGTCTGCCGCACGAGGGGCAAATTACGGGCACAAAACCTGAATAGCCACCTAACAAGCCTTAGGAAAGAGAGAAAGAAAGACAGAACAAAACCAAGAGGGCAAGAGAGAAAAATAGTGGTAGGGTTGTGCATGTCTGCCTAATTATGGCAAATATTGGCAAATTATGGAGCCAAAGCCTGAATAGCCACCTAACAAGCCTTAGAAAAGAAAGAAAGACAGAAAGAGCAACACGAAAAAGGGCAAGAGAAAACATAGGTGTAGCGAAAAATGCGAGACCGAGGGGTAGGGAAACGAGCCTCAAGAACAACCTAACAAGCCTGAAGAAACACCTGACAAACGAAGAAACCGCAAGAAAGAAGGACAGAGGGGGCAGGGGTGGGTTTGGGGGTCTATTCTCCGTATGCTCGGCAGCTTCATATCCGTATGCTCGGCAGCTTTGCGGTCTATTGATCATGAGTGAGACAGGAAAATCGTGAACCATAATCCACGGATGCAGGAACGCAAATTTGATATCTGATACACCATGGCTTAAGCGCCCCGTTGCCGGGGATCACACTGTGCACCCGAGTGGCAGAACACAGCGAATCACACTTAGATAGAGGTTTATGCAATGCCAGAATCCACAAGGAAAGGAATGAGGGAACGGAAAGGTGCAAAGTCCACGCATTTGAAGTGTTCAACATGTTTCACGTGACTGCAGAAAGCGGCTGGCGTCAGGCTGCTGCAATACGGCGGGAAACCTGATTATGGGGTAGCATGCGAAACGGCCATGAAAGCAAACCAAGAGTGGAACAGCGTGAGCAACAGTTAAGTGCAGGTACGTCGGCAAACGTCCTTGCCGATATCCTAGAATCATGTGAGGAGCTTCGTTGGATGGAGCCTCACATGTCCTCTCCATCCCCCTGCTGGCTGTGGACAAGAATGATGAGTTGAAAACCCTTAGGTACAGGGTATGACACACACACAGCCTTTTGAGGGCCAAACGCGGGTTTCATTTACAGCAAGATGGGGCCATTCTAGCATCACCTTGATGTGGCCTTACGTGAGGGTAAAAACCCTTCAGATCCTTTGTTGGGCGTCCCAGCGTGCTAGCACTTCTGGAATTGTTGTTTTTGATCCTGTGCAATGTGTTGTTTAATCCATACTCATTGGTTGATCCTTGCGTTCATTTTGCTCGAGTTGTGCCCAGGAAATATTGTAAACCATCAACATACCAACCATCGGTGCAGACACGCACACACACACACACACATATTTCATTTTCGCAGGCTATATACTGTATAATTTTGATGAAACAAAACAATATACATGTGTAAATTGTGCACATTTGTTTATGTACAGATGAATCAGCGCCGCCCCATCCGATTTGTTATAGGAATGGAGAGGATTTGAAGGACCTGTCAATAGTTTCGTGCTGGCAACAGAGTCAGTGGTAGAACAATAGTACAAGGTAACTCCGTTTTTTACGTGACTAGTTTGTCACACACGGTCATTTACAGGATGACACATTTCACCAGACTGAAGATCACCTTCATGATTTGCAGTACCCGCTGGTAGCTAGCGACCGCCCAAGATGAAATATGGATGGTTTCGTATGCGGATTCAGCTAATGGTTGTTTGGCTATACCATTCTTCCCTTACCTTTGAGGGTTCAAAGCGTTTGAAGATCAGTATCCAGAAACCTCCAGGCAAACATTGCATACTATGATTGCCGATGATTATATATTCGTCATTGTGGCCCATTCTGGCACAGTTGTTGCCATGTGCATCCACATTTTGAGTACACTTTTGGGGGGTGATCGAGTCATCGGAATTGACACGTTCCCGGGCCAAGGCAAGTTTGAGGCTTTGGACCAGCAGCTAAGCCTTGACGCCCAGGGCTCCCCACGCCCTGCCTCTGCCCCTCGCTCGAGCAAGCCGGGGACCCCAACGACCTCGGCTTCCGCGCGGACACTTCGCCGCAACGAGACAGTTCCGGCCAAGCCAAGCTGCCTTCCCAACCACCTGCTGGCAACGACAGCCCACGTCACCCCGAAGATCGTGGGTGAATTTTGACCCACCCGGAGGAGTGCCCATGGCTGAACTAATTTCCAGCAATTGCTGCAGCATGACAACGAATTCCCTTGTAATGACCTATATTATCCCAAAATACGTTGACTCAGCGAAGCGGAGGAAACCTCGCTGCTTGCGACGGAACATCGTTTTCATGTCTTTTCCCCTGCAAAGATTGAACGATTCCATGGAGGCCGGGTCTGCCCAAGCAACGGCCAGGCTCTCAGAAAGCAATTCGCGTTGGCAGGAGGGGCTAGGAGAGCAACATAGTATACATCAACTATTCTGATGCCAGGGATTTGAGCTGACTTATATATATATATAAATGATGTTTATTCCGTGGGTATGGATGAAGTCTTGCTATGCATTTTTAATGTTGATGGAGTGTGTTATTGTTAAGATTGCCCACTTTGCAGATGGTCGCTTGTTGGACTCCCACCAAATGAGCAAAAGGAAAGACTGACACATTGTTGCTTGTGTGGGGGGCGGGCGAAGTTTAGTGAACAGTTATTCTACTGTTGGTTTTGAACCGTACTCCAAGATGGTCTCACTCTTATACCATCAGGGTGAGCCATAAGAGAGCTATAGCAGCTAGTTGCATTTGGGCTTTTTGACCAAGGCAATCATAGATGCCTTTTGAAACATCATTCTTGCTACTGGGCTTCCCGAAAGATGTGACAGCAGTCCACAAATACGATGTACACGACCCAGAAATTCTTGCCGGGCATGGAATAATTAGGTCTTCGTTTCACGATGGCAGAAGAACTTCGCGTTGTTTGAATTGCAAGATTGTTGAGCTCAGATGAAGTGAAAAGGGACGAGACCCTCACTCAACAAGCAGCAGACTTTTGTGAGGTATTTGCATCCCCATGCACAGCACAATGCAACATTGTGTAACAATCTCAAGTCGTGCAAGAAATTCCAACCTGGCATACAAAAAAGATCAAAAACACACACCCAGTGGCAGCACAGAGCTTCTTCAAGCTTCACAGCGTGCAAGCCAGTGGCTTTCACAGATTCGTGATTCGGGGAAAGTCAGCCGTTTTTGGGCTTTGCCTCATGAAGATGGCCTCCCTTGGGCGCGCGACTCGCCCCAAGAGTGAAGATCTCATCCAGCGACTCCGTGTCAACCAGTACCTTGGCACGGCACCGGGTGGACAACGGCGAAAGCCAGCTCGGCGGGGGAGTGCACTAGCCGTTGTGTTCTTTGTTTTTTTGATCTTGGCACGTGTGATATTTTTTTGAGTTTATGTCAGTATACTGTATATTTATATTGATTTATATTTATATCACCTGATTCATATTGATCTTTATTGTCTTTGATTTAGAGATTTCCAGCTCGTCTCTCTCTCTCTCTAATTATGTTTGCTATGTGCCACAAACTTTGTTCAAACTCACCTCGCAGTTCGGGAGACGCATCAAAATAAAAATAAAAATGCATCAAGAAATAAACACAAATGCATCAAAAAAAAACATAGAAAGAAACGAGCAAAGGAAGGAAGGAAGGAACGAGGCAAGAAAGGAAGAGGAAGCAAGCAAGGAAGGAAGGAAGGAAGGGCTAGCGGGGGTAGGCAGGTAGGTAGAAACGAAGCAAGCAAGCAAGGAAGGAAGGAAGGGCTAGCGGGATGGAAGGAAGGAAGGAAGGAAATAAGGAAGGAAGGAAAGAAAGAAGGAAGGCTGTGAAATTGAAATGCGATGTTGCAAAGCTTTGCCCAGATGCCCAGCACAGAGACCATTCCAGTTATCAAAGGAAGATTTATTGGGGAAACTCCATGATATTTGTTTTTTGGTCGTGCCAAGTTACATTGCGGGGGAGGCGCTGCGCCCTCCCCCGCGTCCCCTCCCGCTTTTAATTGTTGAGCGTTTTCATTTCATTCATTTCATTTGTTCATTGACTCATTCATCCTGTCTTCCTTCTTTCTTTCATTTTCATGTTCATTTCATGTGATTTTACTGTTGTTTTAATTCTTTTGGTCACTGCTTCGAATGGATTATTGTTCTTCCCTTTGCACGTTTGGGTCCGTTTATTTTTTCTTGATCACACTGAAATATGTTTATTTTTTGATGCATTTATGTTCTTTTTTTGGTCCCCCGCCCGTTAATTCATTCGTATGTTAAAGGGGTGGATGCTTAATGGGGTGGATTGGAGAGTAGTAGATTTCAACATTATTCAACATTATTCAACATTGTTTGTCCCTTATCGAAACAATGATGGAAAGAGCTCAAGAAGTCTTTGTTTGCTATGAAGTCTTGACCGCTGTCCATGGAGTCTGGTTGGTTGCGATCATTCAGAGACACTGAGTGACTTCTTGAAGGGTTCCCTCCAATCCATTCATGCGATTGTGCAGCTGCCTCAGCAAGTCCAAGTTCTTCGGTTTGGATCATCTGCATGTTGCATCTCGAAGTCTGGCCCCGTGTATGTCGGGCAAGCTCCTAAAGAAGCAAGCAGGGTTTCAGAAGAGACAAACTGAAGAACAGCATAGGTGAAATGAAGAGGTTCAATGACACACAACACTTCTTGCTCTAGACTCAACGATGGACCCTTCACCGGAAGGGTTCCCATCGCCGGATTGGGCCGGCGTCTTCGGCGAACCGCCATGCTTGCTGCATCCGTTGCGACTGCAGCTTCTTTGCGGTGGCTTGGGCGCGCCGGAGCATTTTCTGGATCAGCAGCAGATTCCCTTTGTGGCTGATCCGTATGTGGACAATGCTGTCTTCCTGGCCCCGGCTCTGCAGAGCTTGTATGGACAAGGCCATCATGGCACAGTGTTGTTCATGGAGCCATGGTTGCAGATTCTTAGTCAAAAGCCACCCGAGTCAAGCCCTGAACGTATTCCGATAGAGCTGACTGCAGTTGAAGGGCTTTCAGCCGACTGCTCGTGCAATTGGCCCAGGATCTGCTCCAGCTCGATGTGACTGCGCTGCCTGACGTTCACGGTGTGGTCTCAGGACCCCCATGCCCGCCTTTCTCTGCACCCCGACTGATTTGCGGCAGGGATGTGGAGAGGTTGGCGTGGCCTATTGGGATGAATGATGGGGTTCATAGGCGGTGGACCATGGTGTTCGGACATGAGCCTCCATGCTACAATGTTCCCTCTCATAGAAACATGCTAAAGGTGCTGCCTTCTAAGGTCCAGCTGCTGCTCAAATACGAAGAAAGCTCTTTCTCACGTTTTGTTGCGAAAAGAGTAGGTCAAGCACCGCATCCGAGCATCATCCGACATTTCATTTTTGTGCCAAACAGAAGATTTCCTCCTTTCAGGCAATTGGCCAGCGCCAGCTGTATGAAGACCCGAGGAGCTGGGTGCTCCTTCAGGTCACGAAATCTATCATCCACCAAGGACATCGAGGAGCTCTCTTTTTTGTGCTGGAGCAGGTCATGGGGTGGAGCCTGCTGGCTTCAAATCTCTGTGCAGTTTTTTGGGGAGCGCTGGAGGAGGGTCCCTAGGAGAATTTCCGGTGCAATTCAACGAGGAACCTAAATGTTTTGGGGCAGCTGCAAGTTGGTCGGCCCATGATATGTTTTTTTGAGGTCACACGCCAAGAGGCGATGCTTCTTCACCGCTTGAGAGCTGGATCGCTGACGTGGAAGCTCGTGCCCCGATGTGGCAGATCTCTGTGCACTTCTTGAACTCGGTGGACTACGTGCCGCAGAATCGTCCCAGAATCTATGTCGTGGGCCTTAATCGTTCGAAAGGCTGTGGAGGACTTGTCTCTGTGCCACGGTTGCCTTCGCGATCTGCGCTGACGATAGACTCCTTCTTGCACCCAGGCAGTGTTTTTTTCGCAAAAGTTGTTCTTGAGAACTGTTATATCTTCGGCGAAGGTACAGTGACATCTAGCCGCCTACAGTCCCCAGACGTTTGATAGACTTGATGTCAGACAATGCTGTTTTTCCTGAACAGCGAGGCGAAGCTTTATAATGTGGTCCTCTGATAAACAAACGCACCCAGAATATTGTCAGCAATTTTCCCAGCACTGATCAATAAAGGCCCGCAGAATAATGTCTTTTTGGGGGGGGCGATATTTTTGTGAAAAAATATCTTCAATCTTAGGTCTTGATTCCTTTCATTTTAGTATTGCCAGAGTTGCTCCAGAGGTAGCTAAGTAATTTATGTGTTCATATTGTTCTAAGGTCTCCAATTGTTGAGGGGGGGAAAGGGGGGGTTGATTAATCAAGGGACTACATTAGGGATCTTCAGCAATAGTATAGTATAGACTTTGGAGCAGATCGGAGCAAGCTCCGGAGCAGGTTCAGGAGGAGGTTCCGGAGCAGGTTTCGGAGCAGAGGTTTCGGAGGAGGTTCCGGTGGAAGGGGACGTGTACGCGAGCGTACAACAAACGGGGGTTTGCTTGCAATGACTTGTTCCAATCTGTTGGTTTGACGTTCTGGTCATCATTTTGTTTGAATGCCTGAGTTCAGCCAAGTGGGGTAGCTCTTGGAGTTGGTCAACGTTTGTTGGCGGTTGTGTGAACCTCCGCCACGGTGCTTTGCTTGGCTGTGTTTTACTTTCTTTGACCCCGCCCGCCCTCTCCTTTTTTTGAAGTGGGTGCTTATCCGATGCGACCTTTTAGGTAAGTTTGGGGGTGGTTAGTTTCCTCCTGGTCGCATTTCTCCCCACACCAGGCTTGTGAGAGTTAAAAAGTGGCGTGTGTGGTGCGCAGGGGCAATTTACTGGTAATGTGAGTCTTACTTCCGGTTGGGTTTGGTGCTCCAATCCACCCTTCCTAACAATTGCTAAGCACATCCCGTGCAGGAGGTTCAAAGGCAAGAAGCGGTTGTGGGCATGTGGGTCAAGGAAAAGTAGCCTCGTAACCATGAGCTGTCGTATTCCCTGACGCCCATGAATGAACAGCTGAGCCTATCAGCCTAACAGCAGCTTCCGGATTTTGTTTCGCCTTTTTCTGGCATCAGTTCAATCTGGGTCATCAATTCAAACTGCGCGCGGTCGGTGGCTCTTTAGTTTTCTGCGTAATTAGATACATTCAGGCATCTTTCTGTTCCACCAATGGATGTAACTCTTGCAGTCCCTGGATAGTCTACGAAAAGGTTGAAAGATGATCTAAGAAGAGGACCATTGAGTGCTCACAACATACGGTTGACTACTTCCTACAAGTGCTTTTGTCTACGTGGTATCTATAATAATGGCGTAACTAAGTTGCTGACACCAACTGAACTCCTTCAAAAGAGACATCAAACCGTATTGGAGATAA